TCATTTCATTTCATTATATATATATATATATAATGAAATGAAATGAAATAAACGGATATATATTTGGTATGGGAGCAGTTTCTTTGTTTGTGGTTTTTAGGAAGGAGTGTTTGCATTGTAACTTAACATTCATTCAATCTTTATTTACACCGCATGCAACATGCATTTTCAATCTGTTGCAGTAAGTGATAAATATTTAATAGGAAGAAAAGGGGATTTTGTTTCAACCAAAATAATCTCAGATAAAACTCCCATTGAGCTCCCAGGGTCATTTGATACAAACCAGAAGGCTGTTTTGAAACAAGTCCACAAATCTGACAGTCACGGAACAAAACACATTCTGTAATGCTGGAAAGTAAAAGCAAAAATAAGCAAGATATTGGCTAAAGCTAAAGTTAACAAAACATTTGCAGCTATGTTGATGTAAATTTCAGAAAAATGTTGAAGGAATTCGAGATGTCAATAGATTTTTAAGTGAAAATTGTTGTTTTAAAGTGAAATTATAAAAATAAAATACAAGTTATAAATAATAAAGTATCACACTATTCACAAATGAGTAAAATAATCTGATATATGATGTATTGAATTAATACAAAGTGTGAAAATGTCAATTGATTATATAAAATTATACAAAAAAAACTCAGAACAAGTCTTTTAATGGGAATTTAATTTGTTCATTTAAATTTTTAATTCTGGCTTTTCTAACTAAATTTTCTGTTGTAACGCAAGAAAAGGTTTTACTGATGTGTTGAAAAGACATATCGCTTATTTTTAAGAGACTGAACAGTAAATCAGTGCTCCGGCAGTCCTGATGCTCTTTTTCAGTCAAACTGCAGCTTGAAAAAATAACGCTGCACTTAAAGTCATTCTCTCTGAACATTTTCCTGCACTCCCATGAAGTTTTTTCACAATGCAGCCATATTATTTATTTATATATTCATTTTCTGTACAGTGGAGGAACTCATTGCTGCCGATTGTCAGAAAGATCTCGAACTATATTTTAAAAATTTTGAAGTCAACCTTTTCAGAAATACCTGAAGAAGCTGAAGTGCTTTGGTGATGTGACGTGAGAATATAAACGTTTTTAACTGGTGCATTCTAATTTTTTTTTATTTGGGTCTTTTACTTTTATATTTTGCTCTGATAATGTTTGAAATATTACCTCGCCAGTAAAAGTTTAATTATTTATAGTAGGAAAAAAAATTGACATCCCCCAAAAAATAAAACCACTAACCATTCTAAAAGCATGCAGTTATTTGCTAACTTTAAATCTGGAAAAAATCTAAAGAGATAAAGTGCTTTCACTCTTCTGCACAGCATGCCTTTGACCATTTATTTACAATAATCACAACCTCAGAAATGCTCTGATGAGCAGAGAGGCTCAGTCTTTGCTTGATTAGATGCGTGTCTGAAAATATATGCATGGACATGTGAAAATGTGGTCTGCAAGCTGCCACAAACCCCTGGGGGGACAGCAGAGAAGCGACTCCTTCGCCACTGGGACAGCCAAAGCCAGCACACTGTTAGCAGATGCTGATTGGCTGCCTGCACTCTTCCCGTTGTCCCAGTGTGCTGCTGACCTGCGGCATTGATTTAATCACTCTTGCTTTGCAGCAAGCCACTGTACATAATCCTTTTCACCTTTTTACCCCTCATGCTCATTAACTCCCCCACCCCCTTAGTCTGGGTTCTCCGTTCCACAGGTATGCATACAGAAGATGTTCTGTTCAGTGTACAAGTGAGGCCTCCCTGCTGGCTCAGACAGGAATATCAGCCTGGGAAAGGCTGCCAAACTCCTTTGGCTGAACCAAATGAATTACTGCAAGAAGAGCAAGTGAGAATGGCTGCCCACATAAACAGCTGAGGCCATGTCTGCGTGTGTATGTGGGCGTTTACTCGTTCAAGTAGATTTTATCTGTCAGGAGGAAAAAAAGGATGAGTGCTTCCTCCTTTTCTTGCAAGAACAGAAATGTAAGGACAATCCTCCCAAGCAAGAACATTAAGTGGTTCAGATGTGGGAAGATGTGAAAGTCCTGACAAGGGTTAGAGCATATATGAGAGTATGGATCCTAGTTGTCTAATGACAAACTGGTACCCTTCCAGTGTTTCTTCTGGAGCTCCTACAGGGGTTTTCTTTGAGCCTGCAGCTGCTTGACTTCCTCTGTGGCATTTTCTTGGTTTTTGACACTGGTCAGAAGGTTAATAATGTCGTTTCCATTCTTCACAACAGCAACAAGTGTATGTTGCCCGAACGTTTTCAGGCTGTTTAAAATCCAGTGTTTTGATGTTGAATTTTGGCTGCAGAAAAAAGAGTGTTCCCATCTGCTGTGGTTACAGTTTCAAATGGATTCCCTGTCACAATGCATAGATGTAGATTCAACAATTAGGTTTTGAGGAATACAAAGCTGCAGTATAATTTAATTTAACTTTCCCCACAGTATATACAGACACACTGAGCAGCTTTATTTTATTATCCCAAATGTGCTAAACCCAGCTATTATGAAAATGTACAAATTTATACAGATAATGTGCCAAAAATTATAAAAAAAAAAAAATGTGAGCCACAGTAGGTTTCTCCAGTTTAACCTGTTTTTTTCTAGAACACTTTCTGAATGGCAATGCACTAACATTTTTTGATCACTGACTTTATTCAAAATATAACAAATGCAGTTACAGTATAATACCAGTGAACTCTTCTGTGTAAACCACATTTTAGATTAACTGCTTCTGTAATTTTAGTGCGCTGAAGTTTTACTGACACTCATAGCCTTCAAAACACACAATTTATTTGTTCTTGTGTTGTACTGACAGTTGCCAAAACCACACTTCCTGGATTTGTAAAAATAAACAAATAATTTAAAGCTTGAGAAAATAAATGTTGTTCCTAAATTAAAAAATAAATGCCAGAGGTACTTATATGTGCATAAATCACCTGGGTTTTTAATGTTTTGGCTCAATGACAAAAAAAAAAGTAATTGTCTGCGCACACAGTTTTTAAGGGTTTAAGAGACTAAAACAGATTAAGTTAGATTTGAATGTTTGTAACGTTGGATGAGCTTTAATCTTTTATTTCTTGAAATAACTCCCTAAAACATTCATCGCTGACATTTAACTGAATGCATGCGACATTTTCTGTTACTTCAGGCAGAAGATTGCCAGCCTAACATCATCTGTCCACAGAAGTTCCTAAAATTACTCGGGCTCATAGCAATGTTTGGGTGTCAGACAATTGAGGTCAAATCACAGGAAAACAGTGCAAACCCACGCTCCCCTGCCCCTATTTCTGTCTCAGCTAAACCTTTAACAAGATGTATGACAGTGATTTGGGCGTGTTGCTATTTTTTTCTATTCAAAATATAAACTTTAAGATGTCATCTTTGATTTACAAATCATGTCATGTTTAGTTTGCCTCAACTGTCCATTCTTGGTGACGGTTCAGACTGAAAATTATAAACTTGAAGCATGTTTTTTTCTGCATGCCGTTTTTGTTTGAGACAAACTATCTATATGGGAAATCTTCAGACGTTTTCTTGACGTTTTAACATGTGTAACTTACATTCCTAGCCCGTTTCACAGATACTAATAAGTCAGTGAAGGTCTTAGGTAAATTATTTATTTTTATAATCTTAAAGATCCACATAAAGTGGTTGTATTCATTTGTTGACAGTTTAAATTCCCACAACATGTCTGGTGTAAGCATCCCACAGATATAAAAGTTTGTGATTT